AAAAAAATGAATAAGCTCGTGGATAAAAAAGACAATTTATTATTGTTTCGTAATTTTCATTTTTGCGATGACCACTTGTTTTTTTGCAAGAAAAACTTCATGTACAGTCCTTCGGCGAATGTTTGTTCAGGTTGCTTGTCATTAAGTTTAAAGATTGTACAAACAGCTTCTGAAAATAAAGAAAATCAACTTTACGAAGAAATCGATACTCTTGCCCTTACCCAACATATATCTGTTGTCGTTATGGGTATCAGCCAGTGTGAGTGAAGCCAGTTGATCCATATGTGTAAATCAGCTGTATCAATGCGGTTACATAAATATTTGCTTCGTTTTTTGTTCCAGGAATTGTTAGTAAATGGAGACTAGGCGCGCCTTCAGTTTGTTTAAAAATCTAAATAAAGAAAATCGAAGTATGAAAATGACAAAATATCATACTCACAAAAGATAAAGAAAAATTAGAATCATCCTTATCGACGCTAGTTGATTCTTCAAGCAAAATAAGTACCTAAATTGATATTCATATGTGCGTATACCAGTTCAGATGAGCATTTCATAAATATTAGAAGTGTAATTTAAATAATCTCTTCAGAATAAAATCTAAATTTTCAAAAGAAAATATTGATGCATTAATTTTTTACGTAATAAAAATAAAAAGCTAGTCGAAGCTTCTTGAAAGATCCTTTTCAACGCAATTTTAGAGTCTTTTGAGTTAACAGTTTCATGTTTAGGCTGCGTTCATTGAAAACGAATGATGAATCTGTTTTTTCTCTTTTAACTAGAGTATAAACTCCACTGTTATATAAATCTGGCTTTGATTTATATAATAATTGATGGATTCTCTGTATAACAATTTGTAACGATTTCTAACGAAATAATAAAAAATACCATACTAGTCGTTTGTTTAAAGCCTTTTCAATCCTTATTTAATTCTTGCATATAAATTATATCATCATTTCGAAACGTTCCTGCTAATGAATGTTGCTAGGAGTTATTGAATTATGAGACATTGAAAGAGATTGAACAATGACAGGTCAGACAAATTGAATTGCAATATTGACGAAAGGAAAGGAAGAAAAGTAAATTAAGTTCGTTTATCGTTGATAAACAATGGAATAAATTTGGAGAGAGTAGTTATTTTCAAAGAGATTATTTTTCCTCGTCTGTTCTGTCTGAGCAGAGAGAGAAAACATTCAACTTGCTTCAATCTATGAGTCAGAAGGAAAATAAAATATAATCATTACTATCTTTAACTTATTGTAATTATTCAATGAAATAAACTAAATATTTGTTTTAAAGGCAAAATCGAAATACAATTTTTTTCTTAGCAGTATTTACGCTTATGGGGCAACTTTTTGGTAATTTAGACTAGTCCGGCCACACTGTGTATCGTATATTGCTCCAATCTACGATCTGAGGAGCGAGATTGAAACTTAGATGAGGGTTTTGTTGTATATTTCTAATTAATTATTCAAATACGAACACTAGTGTATGTGCTAAACCACCATGTAGATGGAACTGGTATACTGCACGAAGATATGCATACAAAGAAAAAAATAATCGATAAATAATTATATTATGAACGTTCGATGCTGTTCGACAATAATAATCAATTAGACCTTCAGCAAACAATATTTTCTCTTTAGTTTCAGATGCATATAAAAGTTCAAGTGCTCAGAACAAATCTCAAAAGAGAAGACAGGAGATCCGGTAATATGCTAAATCTCTGAATCGTGATTATTTTGATCAATCAAATCGTCAAAATTTTGAAGACGACAATACACATTCAAATAATAATTTTTTTAAACTTAAAGATGAAACTAGTATGATGGCATTTTGATACCGTTATTGCGACGTAGAGAGTGCTAGAAAAGTATGATACTTAGCGACGTTATATTGCTAGAATAATTTTAATCGTTATAGCGGCACTATATTACTGAAATAATTACGATACTTAGCGGCATTAAATTGCAAAATAATGCCACTAAATGGCGTTTTGACGTTATAACGGCGCTACTTGAAAAAAAGGACGACATGGGTATGGATTAGAATCTTTAATTAAATTATCAAGTAAAAATAATGAATATATTAAATTACTTGATTTAATTGATTATTCATCATTTATTGTTAATCAAGAACATCAAACTACTAGTCGAATGATTCAAGGAATATTAACATTAAATGATCATTATTCTTGTGTACTTCAAACACCATTATTTTATTTATTTCAACAACGAAT